GTTGTTTCCCAAAAAAATCGACTTCAGATGCGTCATGTGTCCATCCTGACCGCTTGTCGCTGAACAGCCGAGCTTATGCTTTCTTAGGATAAACACTGACTAAATGTTAAGATGGAGTAAACGGAAATAGTTATCTCGTTGGCTGGCTATTTCGGCCAGCCGCGGAAATCATTTGCAATTTTAACATTTTGCACCTTAACGCGCCAGTCTAAGTGTTGTGGAAACAGTACCTCTCTCCCTAGTTCGTCCTAGTGCTGTCTTGTGCATACTGTCTTTTTGCCAGCACTTTTTGCTCACTCGTTTTCGCACCGTTATTCCTCCGGAGTATCCCAACTTCTGTCGCATAATACAGAATGATTATGCCGAGTTTTTTTTCCTTCCTAGCGGAAAACGTCAGCAGACATGTCTGCTCCGGATCCGAAATTTGTTGAAAAACTGAAGAATAAGATTGACAATGCTGCCGTTCTTGTCTTCACCAAAACTACCTGTCCCTACTGCGTTAAGGTGAATCCTTTAATTTCATTGCTTCTTGGTCATGCTCTTACAAACCGTAACACACATGTTATTTTTGCAGGTTAAAAAGCGTTTCACTGACTTGAATATTCCATTCGGCTACTTGGACTTGGATCAAAAGGGTAGGTAGAGATGTACACTCTTGTTAAAGTTGAACCTCTGTCTAGCAAATGGATCCACAATCCAAAAGGCGTTAAAAGAAATCTCTGGCGTCGAGACAGTTCCCCAGATCTTCTTCCGTGGAAAGTTTATGGGTGGGTCCTTGTTCACCTTAACTATGTACACTTTCAACTTCTCCTGTAGACCACGGCCTAGTGCCATTTGAGAGTTGATCCCTGGACATTTTTTAAGCTTTCACTTACACCCCTCGTCTATACTTGTTTCTTTGCACGGCGAATTACATATATCGGAGCTTAATGCATAATCTTTCTAACCTAGGTGGCTGCAGCGATGTGGATGAGATAGCGGATGACAAATTGGTTGCGATGTCGCAGAAAATGGAATATGATTATGATCTGCTTGTTATCGGTGGTGGATCCGGTGGTCTGGCCCTCGCTAGGGTAAGTCGAACCCCTTCCTGTACTTTGTCCTGACAACAGCCCAAATAGAACCACTGCGTCATCACTAATGTTTTGCCCTTGTCTTCATCTTAATTAATTGACCGTCCTGCCGTTCTCAGGTTTGTCCTTCAGCACTTGTTTTCATCTACGCCTGAAACTGTATTTGTCCGTGAAAGCAAAAATTATTATTTTCTTCACTAACCGAAAAAAGAAACCCACATTTTATTTGAAGCAGCTGCAGTAGCACGAAACGAATACTCAACTGTGATACACAACATAAGTCTTACTGAATTCCACTCCAAACTTCCAT